ATGTATAAACAACTGTGTTAAATCATTTTTATTTATTTAGAAGCCGCAGCGCTGCGCACCATCCCCCCCCAAATTTAGTCTAATAATTGAAAACATGGATGAAATATGAAACAAATAAAATAAAACACATACAAAGCAGAAAACAGCTAAATGTATCAAAAGTATGTCTATGTAATATTAGAATTTTCTGAGACAATGAATTTTGGTTTTTCGTTTTGTTTTTATCCAATAAGAGGTTTTTATTTAATAGAATTTTTGGACCAAAAATATCACAATATATTGCCTTGTTTACAGTATCGAAATATATCAGGATATATCGTATCGTATCGTTAAATTCTTGCCAATACACAGCCCTAGTAACGACCAGAACACCATTAAGAGCCGCTGCTGAGTGAGTGTGTCCGTCCAGCAGCTGTATTTAGTCCGAGCACACACACCTGCAGTCACATGGGTGACAAAAAGTGGGCAGCAGCGCCTTCAGTCTCAGTCTAAGGTCCCACAGAGACTCATGTAGTTACTGCACAACATGCACAACAACATGTGAAACAACATGTGCACACTGTGTGTGTGGACCGGGCTGCACCCACAGTGTGAAGGAATTTAAACACCGCCCGCCTGAACACTGACCGTCCCTGAAGCTCCACATCTCTCCCTCCAACATGGCAGCAGAGGACGGCGGGCGGACTGAGGCTCCTCGCCTGAAACCTCCGCTACAACCGCGGCCGACGTCAGCCTTAATGGCTGCCAATTCACCACCTTTTTTCACTCGAATAAAGAGAAAGCTTCAGCTGAGCTGGCACAAAGGACACGCTCAGTCTCTATTTCTTTCTTTCGTTGAATGACAGGAATTCGAGCGGCGTATCCCTCCGCTAAAAATTCATGTTTATTAAAAACAAACAAACATAAAAACAGCTGATGTCTTTTTTTTTTCTTTTTTTTTATCTGTGTGGACCGGTTCTACCGCATTACGACCATCACCACAAGCCCTCCCAGCTTCCCGGTTATACTCACTTCCTAAGCTGCTCCCGCATCGCACCACAAAACCAAAATCCCTCCGCGTCCGACCGGAGGAGAGGAGGAGAGGGGGGAAAAACCCTTCCGTGATCCGACCAACCGTGCTCTATCACCGGCTCAGAGGCGTCCCGGGGTGCCGTAAAGGGCCTAACCGTGTCGGTGTGTGTTCCTCTCTGATAGTAGCAGCCTTGGGAGGGGGGCTGCAGAGGCAACACAGCGGCTCTGGTTCTCCGGAGGACACCCCGAGACCACTACCGCTGGGCTTTTCAAAATAAGAGCTCCGGTTGTTCCACTCAAACAACAGGGGCGTGCGTGCGTGTGTGCGAGAGCGCGTGCGTGTGAACAGGTTTTTCCTACAACATGGGGTATTTTTTACAATAAAAAGCAGCCAGGTGGGGACCGAAGTGAATCGTGGGGACCAATGTCAGGTCCCCACGGGTCCAAATGCATA